TATCAGGGTGCAGGGCTGTGTATCAGGGTCCAGGGCTGTGTATCAGGATGCAGGGTTGTGTATCAGGGTCCAGGGCTGTGTATCAGGGTGCAGGGTTGTGTATCAAGGTCCAGGGCTGTGTATCAGAGTGCAGGGTTGTGTGTCAGGGTCCAGGGCTGTGTATTAGGGTTCAGGGCTGTATATCAGGGTTCGGGGCTGTGTATCAGGGTCCAGGGCTGTGTATCAGGGTTCAGGGCTATGTATCAGGGTTCGGGGCTGTGCATCAGGATGCAGAGCTGTGTATCAGGGTCCAGGGCCATGTATCAGGGTGCAGGACTGCGTATCCAAGGTTGGGTCTGCATATCAGGGTTCGGATTTGACTGAGCACCGTTCCCCAACCCCTGCCCCACTCAGTAATACCAAGGGAAATGGCTGGGATTGCTGTGCCCTGAGGGATGGTCTGATGGGGGTTAGCTCAGGTAGTGAGCAGCTGTCAGTCCCAGTGCCATTCTAATTCCCGGATTCCTCTCCACCACAGACTCTGGTGATCATGGATTCTATTTGGCAAAAAAACGCACTCGATCTGAACCTGATGCCATATGGATGCATCGCCACTGGATATAACATAGGTACAACTACCCCACTCCAAACCCTCCATCACTCTCTCTCTCTCTGTCTCTGTCTCTCTCCTTCTCTCTCTCTCTCTCTGTCTCTGTCTCTGTCTCTGTCTCTCTCTCTGTCTCTCTCTCTCTCCCTGTCTCTCTCTCTCTCTTTCTCTCTCCCTGTCTCTCTCTCTGTCTCTGTCTCTCTCTCGCTCTGTCTCTGTCTCTCTCTCTGTCTCTCTCTCTCTCTCTGCCTCTCTCTCTCTGTCTCTCTCCTTATCTCTCTCTCTCTCTCTCTGTCTCTCTCTTGCTCTCTCTGTCTCTCTCTCTCTCTCTGTCTCTCTCTCGCTCTCTCTGTCTCTCTCTCTCTCTCTCTGTCTCTCTCCCTCTCTCTCTGTCTCTCTCCTAACCTGACATTCCCCATGCCTCTACCACTCTATTTCTGTCCAGCTCTTCTCTATCTCTCTCTCTCTGTCTCTGTCTCTTCCTCTCTATTACCCCACTCTACTTCCATATATAAATATTTATGTATCTCTGCCCTTCTCTGTCTCTCTCAACCTTTCACCCCTCTGTCTCTCTCTCACTCTTATCACTCTGTTCGATATTGTTACTCTAGCACCCACTCTGTCTCAATCTCTCTCTCCTGACCTGACACTCCCTTCTTCTCTCTCTTTAACTCTTTCTCTCTCCCTATCTCTCTCTCTCTGTTTCTATCACCCCACCTCTCTCTGACTTCCTTTGATTCTGTTCGCCCTGTGTGTTTTTCTCACTCCTCCCATCTCTCACACACATTTCTCTGTCTCACTCTCACACTTTATTTCGCTCTCTCTCAGTCTTTTGTTCCCTTTCTTTCCACCCACACTCTTCCTGTTGAACACTCTCTCTCTGTCCCTCCACCCACTGATGCTCAGTAGCAGCAGTGTGTACCATCTACAAGATGTGCTGCAGAAATTCACCAAAGATCCTCAGGCAGCACCTTCCAAACCCACGACCCACTTCCATCTAGAAGGACAAGGGCAGCAGATACATGGGAACACCACCCCCTGCAAGTTCCCCTCCGAGCCACTCACCATCCTGACTTGGAAATATATCGCCGTTCCTTCACTGTCACTGGAAAATCCTGGAATTCCCTCCCTAAGGGCATTGTGGGTCTACCTACAGCACATGGACTGTAGAGGTTCAAGAGGGCAGCTCACCCCCACCTTCTCAAGGGGGCAACTAGGGACAGGGCAATAAATGCTGACCCAGCCAGCAATGCCCAGGACCCATGAATGAATAAAACAACGTGTGGTATTATCTGTAAAGGATTCTGGGCCGTCTGAGTCAGTGGGGGCGATATAGAAATGTCCCTTCTTGCTGTAACATTGCTGTTCCTTGTACAATCCCACAGGGATGATTGAGATCGTTAGGGATGCAGTGACAATAGCAACTGTGCAGAGAAGCAAGGGCGGCAACACAGGAGCATTTAAAAACGACGCACTATATGATTGGTTGAAATGCAGACTGCAGGTCGAGGAATCGGTTAGTTTCTGTCGAGTTCTACTCTTTGTGTTTTAGAATGTTTCTGCTGGATAGGATCCCGAGCTGGGTTAATAACCTCATCTCCACTATCAACAAGACCATCCGTCTCCGCTCCCCCCACCCCCACACCTCAGGAACCTCACTTGGACCTGACCCCTGCCTGGTGCTGAAATGTCCTTTTGTGACTCACTTATCCCCCAAAGTTAAGTATTCCGACATAATCACGGTCCCCTACACCACGATCCAACCCATGGCCTCTGCTGCCCACATCCTAATGTACACCATCCCCCCACCCCCACCCCCCCGCCCTCACTGATCTACATGGCTCACAGTCAAGTGACCCTCGTGATTTTAAATATTATCCTCATTTTCAAATCGCTCATTAACCCTTCCCCCCCCCCAACAACTGCCATTTCTCATCTTCTCCAGCCCCACAGCCCTCTGGGATCTCCATACAACACCCATCCCCACCACCACCCCCACTCACCAACTCAGGCCCCTCAACGTTCCCAGCCAGGGGAAGCGCCCACCCTGTCGATCCAATACAATGAGCGAGAATCTGGGATAGTACTGGCCCAGATTCCTCCAACCCTCCTGCGGGGATAGTCCCACCCACCCCAGGAATCGAGCTGGTGACCCTGGATTGCATTCCCTGTGTGGGAGCAAATGCCTCCTCCCTGAGGTAAGGAGGCAGGAACCAGGGAGCCAGCTGAAGCAAAGTGACTTTACTCCAGGATTCTCATCCCCTCAGGATGGAGCGGGACATACCATTTACCTTCCGGGTGCTTCGGGCACCTGCCCTTTAGCTTTCAGTCAGTAAGGACATCCAGGTGTCTGTGGGCATCAACACCTTCCCAACGTTTTCAAATCCAGCACCGAGCGGGGGGAGCTGGCATTGAGCGGGGGAGCTGGAACTGGGGGCAGGGGGAGCTGGCATTGAGC